GGCTTTCTCCTCCGCGCGGGCTCAGGTGCGCAGAAGGAAGGAGCGAAGCAGAGCCCCAACGGCGACGTAGGAGCCCCGTGCTTCTGGGGCCACGCCAGCATTCTGCTGTCTGCTTCCAGGCTTCTTTGCAGACATCCCCGCACTTTCTAACGAGCCGGCACGGCGGTCCAAAACCAGGTCTGCCACGTGCCTCCCGAGGCTCGCGACACGCTGCCACGCCCCAGCGCTGGCCCCGACGCCGAGGCCACTTTCCGTGGCTGCGCGTAGCCCCGCACGCGGCCAGCCCCGGCCGTCCCGGGCGGAGGCTGCGTCCACCTCGGGGCTCAGTCTCCACCGGGCCTCTGCTGCCCCTTGCGCTGTTCCTGGCGGGCAGTAACTCGGGCGCTGCCCACCTTCCCGCCCTTTCGGCAAGCGGCAAGGTGAACGCACGCGCCTGGCTCTTGGTGTGCACGTCCTCCTCCCAGGGACACCAGGCAGGGCAGGGCCAGGGCTGGGCGGAATCCGCCTCAGGCCGGAGGGGCTGCCGGCCGAAGTCTGGTCGCGCCTCGGAGCGGAAGAGGCCAATGCGCCCCAGATGGCCCGAAATCTGGGCGAGCAGTTAGATTCAGAGTCGGGCTTGAGATGCTGGGACTTCACACAAAGTGTGGGCGCGCGGGTGTCTGTCCCGGGCTCCCCACTCCTGTTCTGAAGCTGAACCCCTGCTCTGGGGTACACGTGTCATCGATCACCACCAGCGGAGACGGGAGCCACGTCGGGAGACGTGATCAGTCCAGCCAAGGGGTCGGGAAGGAAAGAGGGTGCCTGCCCCCCCGGTATGAAGCACCTTTCAAACAGGGAAGCAAATCACACGTCTGTGCTGCCCACGTGGCCTGGCTCCCCTGGCGAGGGGGGCAACAGAAGAAGAGACACGTCTTCCTGAGACAGACACCCGCTCGTGACAAAGCTGCACGTGCCTCGCGGGCAGGAGTTTCTTCACATGGTTACAGACGCCACCGCGCTCGAAGGTCCGAGCCGGGGCTGAGCCTCAAGCCACACGTCACACACTGAGGGAACCCCGGCGGGAAGAGGGATGCCGCCGCTCGCTAAGGGTGCCCACTGGGCAGCAGGCCCCAGGCGCTGCCGACACCTGCAAAGGAGCCGCCATGGGGCGCCAGGCGCGTGGCGCTGCGCGAGCTCCCTCGGAGATGGGCAGCGGCTGGCATCGGTTCTCGAGGACACGGCTTGCAGCGGGTTGTGGGGACCGCGGGCGTCTCCGCGCCTGCCCCCTCCCCCCCCCGAGTGCATTCTGCCTCACCAGCGTGGATACAGGAGCCGCACGGGCCCAGCGGAGGGCAGAGACACGGCCCCGCCAGCCGCCGACACGAGACGCCACGGCCCGAGAGCGGCTTCATTCTTTTCAGCTTTTGCCCAGAACGAGTGACCAGGGCTGGTCAGCTGCAGCTGGCGGCTGCCCGCTGGCGCTCACCTTGTTCTTGCTGCTCTCGCAGGACTGCAGGCTGGCTAGGATCTGGCCCTCGATGGCCTGGACCCAGGCGTCTCGCTCCTCATACGTGGTGGCCTCAAAGTGCCACGTCTGGCCAGTGAGGGACACAATGATGAACTCGAAGTTCTCCTCTTGTTCTGAAACACAGAGCGGTGGGGAGGACAGGTCAGTTTCCGTGCCAGCGGCCCCGGTGCCAGCCGGCCCGAAGGCCGCTTTGGGCCCGGCTGTCACGGCTCTGCCCTCGGCGCGGCAGGCCGGACCCACAGACACCGAGGGCTCAGGCGTGGCTGCGACAGCCAGAGGGCTCAGCGGCGTCGGTCATCGCGGGCCCGTGGCGGGGTGGCCCTGCGCCGGGTACTGACCGAACAATCGGGAAGGGAGCCCGTGACCTGTGGCTGGCCACTGACGTGGATGAAACGCCAACACCGCTAACCTCGGGGTTCAGCTTCACCCCTCCCGAGGCTGCGCGGCTGCCCTAGCCCCGCCGTGGCTGAGACCAGGGCCGGGGCCTCCGTGCTTTCAGCAGAGGACCTGGGTGGGGGCTCTGGTCGGTGACTTCAGGCTGGAGGGCGAGGGGTTCCAGGAGGCCGGAGGGGGCTTCTGGCCACCACGGGGCGAGCGTCCGGCTGGGACGTGGGACTTGTGCTCAGTCCTGCCACGCCTCCTGCACAGCTGGGCCTTCGGACGCCGCGGGGC